TATATATATATATATATATATATATATATATATATATATTATATATATATCCAGACTCAACAACAAAGATAGAATTGTGTGAAGAATTTGATGAATAATTCTCTGAATTCGACAATGTAAGTATTTAACAATAATTTATAAATATAAATATTTAATCTCTTCGGTATTAGCGTTGACTATAATTGATAGTCGCTTAGCGCTCATTTTCTTTATCTTTTTATTAGTAAAATGATTTGTACCTTAATCTTTCACTATTTACTAATAGTAATTTTTAGATATAAATAAATTTAATATGTTTCCTAAAAATATTAGATAGAAAGAGAAAGGAGGTAAAGAAAAAAAAAGGGGAAAAAAGAAATAGCTATATAATAAAATTATTTCCTTTAATTGTTATGTTTCTTTTAATAACTGCACTGTTTTTTTATTAATTATTACTTTATTGTAATACTTATATGTGTAAAAATATATTTCGGTCGAAGTGACCGAGTCGCGTCTTTTAACGTTAATCCCATTAACCCGTTTCGTCCTGAAATGGCATAAATTTTATCTGTTGTTCATCGCTGTAAATTTTATATTAAATTATGAGCGAGTTTAGCCAAAGTTGGTATACTATGTGTTGGTTCTGAGTGTGCTCTTGAAGAATCTGACTTTCTTTTTTTATTATCATCAATATAAAATATGGCGGCTTAAAGTTGGAGAAATCGAAAAAATCATCGATCCTTTTTGCTTTAAACACCATTTCGACAAGGAATGCATTTGTGGATCTGGATAATCGTATATTTGGTGGCATACAGGCCTATACTTTAAGATATTTCTTCACGGAATTTTAATTTTTATGTTTTTTATGAAAGATGGCGCTGTTTTTTCACAAAATTTCGTGTTTTGCAATTTCTATAGTTTCTTAGTATATGACTAAAAATAACGGTTATAATATTTACATTTCGTGTTTTGCAATTTCTATAGTTTCTTAGTATATGACTAAAAATAACGGTCATAATATTTACCAGGATTATGATATCAGCATCAGTGAATGTTACTGGATGAGTATTTGTAATAGTGTCAACGAAGCCTCAAAATACCGCAAAAACAGTTTTTTTTACAAATTTCGTGGTTACATTATAAAATTTTTTGTTTTCTGTGTAATAATTATTACAAAAAAATTGTTATAAATAAACTTTACAAAAAATCATTATAAATAAACTTTACAAAAAAAGTCGTTATAAATAAATTTTACAAAAAACCTTATAAATAAACTTTACAAAAAAATCGTTCTAAATAAATTACAACAAAAGATTTAGAATAAATTTTACAAAAAAAGATCGTTATAAATAAACTGTACAAAAAATCGTTATAAATAAATTATAACAAAAGCTCAGCCAAAAGATATTTGGAAAAATACTGTTAAAACAATCTTATTCAGATCAATTGTACTCTCGTAAATACTCCATTGAAAAATACAAGACAATTTTATATACTCTCTACAAAAGTAATGGTATCAAGAGGTTACATTCGCTAAGTGCGAATAATTAATCATTTATTAATTTTATAAACATATGTGGTTTTGGCTATATAATATATTTATAAACTAATTATGTTATTAATATATTAGTAATATATTATTAAATAAAAAATAAAATAACTAGAGAAATACAATAATTAAAAAAAAATTATAATAATTTACACAAAGCACTTGGCGTGCCTTTTTTATAGGCAAACGGTTCTCTTATTGTAATGACTATCAAAATATTATATTGATTATCGATGTAGTATTAAAAAAAGGCACGCCAAGTGCTTTTTTGTGTAAGTTATTATAAGTTTTTAACATTATTGAATTTCTTTAATTATTTTATTTTTTATTTAATAACATATTACTAATATATTAATAACATATTTAATTTATAAATATATTATATAGCTAAAACCACATATATTTATAAAATTAATAAATGATTAATTATTCGCACTTGGCGAATGTAAACTCTTGATATCATTACTTTTGCAGAGAATATATAAAATTGTCTTGTATTTTTCAATAGAGTATTCACGAGAGTACAATTGATCTGGATAAGTTTGATCTGTTAAGTTTGATCTGGATAAGCTTGATCTGTTTTAACAATATTTTTTCAAATATCTTTTGGCTGAGCTTTTGTTATAATTTATTTATAACGATTTTTTTAGTAAAGTTTATTTATAACGATTTTTTTTTGTAAAGTTTATTTGTAACGATTTTTTTTGTAAAATTTATTTTAAATATCTTATTGTAATTTATTTAAAACGATTTTTTTTGTAAGGTTTATTTATAATGATTTTTTGTAAAGTTTATTTATAACAATTTTTTTGTAAAGTATATTTATAACGATTTTTTTGTAATAATTATTACACAGAAAACAAAAAATTTTATAATGTAACCACAAAATTTGTAAAAAACAGTGTTTTTGCGGAGGTTTGATTGACATTATTACGATTAGTACTCATCCAGTAACATTTACTGATGCTGATATAATCCTGGTAAATATTTTGACCGTTATTTTTAATCATATACTAAGAAACTATAGAAAATCTGCAAAACACAAAATTTTGTAAAAAAACAGCGCCATCTTTTATGAAAAACATAAAAATTAAAATTCTGTGAAGAAATATCTTAAAGTACAGGCCTGTATGCCACCAAATATATACGATTATCCACAAATGCATTCCTTGTCGAAATGGCGTTTAAAGCAAAAAAGATCGATGGTTTTTTCGATTTCTTTAACTTTAAGCCGCCATATTGGATTTCATATTGATGATAGTAAAAAAAAGGTCAGATTCTTAAAGAGCACACTCAGAACCTATAGTATACCAACTTTGGCTAAACTCGCTCATGATTTAATATAAAATTTACAGCGATGGACAACAGATAAAATTTATGCCATTTCAGGACCAAACGGGTTAACGCGCACACTGTAGGGATACACACATACACACGTACACGCACACACATATACCCACTATGCAAGAAAACTATGTATCAAAAATGTTTCATAAATGTTTCTCTGTAACATGAAATGTTTCAGAGATGCATACGGAAACATTTTAGAAACATAATATAAACAGTTAATGTCCGCATTCAGATACTAAGATATACGACGTTGCAGAAATATCTTGTAATGTTGTGCCAAAAACATTTTTTAGGAATAATATTTATACGTTACTATGATTTGCTTCTGAGATGTTTATTATATCTCATAGGTGTGCCAAAATAAATGCCATAAATTTATAATAATATTAATTGTAGTATATAATAAAATATAAATAATGCCATAAAATAATTAATAATAATGCCATAAAATAAAATAATTTTATTATAATACATGTTTGTAATACATTTTTATAATACATATTTTTACGAGGTTATATTAAGAAGTGAAAAATATAAAACCGCTGGAAAATAACCGAAAAATTGCTAAAAAATATAACTTAACCCTTAGCTGTCCCTCTGGGGTCAAATTGACCCCAGCGATCTTTAAATTTCTGTAAATCAGTCCAAAATTTAAAAATGGTCTATGTGACGCCATCTGTTGTCAGTTGGAGGTCCTAACTGTTGATTAAAACGATAAGTATAATTTTAGTTGCCTTAGTCTACTGTAGGCAAGCGCGCAAAGTCGACGTTAAAATTTGTGGGGTCACTGTGACCCCGTGGGACAGGTGTGTTAATTTTTTGTGTGTACGCTCCGATTTTTTAAAAGTGTTTTTGGGTACTAAAATTTGAAAAAAAATGTAAGTAAACATTTCTGAGATTACGAATTTTTTGGTGTGTAATTTACTTAGTTTTTTTGTAAAGATGTAAAGATGTCGTATAATTTACGCAACCGTAACCTCGTTGGTGAGATGTTGCAAATGGATGCAGAGGAACATCTATTTGGTGGAGAGCCAAATAGATTCTGATGATGCTGATTATGAGGTGATGGAAGAGTCGGATAAAGCTTCCAGTGATTCATCTTTGCATATTGATCCAGAAGATTTGCAAGAAGGAGTGAGGTCTGAACGAGCAACGTCTTCGGGTGCACGTGGTCGGCCAAGGAGCAAATTGCGCGGGAAAAACAACTACGCTTGGTCAACGAATTTGCCTGTTCTCACTTCAGGTGTTTATTTTCACTATATTTATTTTGATATTTAGTGTAAACATGTGCTAAACATTTATTATTATTTTGAATATAATTCATTATTTCATATGTATTCATATTTATTTATTACTCTAATTATAATTTCTTTTATCTAGATCGTTTTATCCCTCCAGAGGAGATAATAATCCCACAGCCAATCGGAGCGGCTAGCGCACTCACTAACATCGAAGATTTTTGGAATTTGTTATTCGATGACAGCATTTTAAATACTATCGTCAATAGTACAAATAAAATTATTGAAGATTTAATAGTACAGAGAATTGCCGAAGAAAGAAGTGTTGAAACTGAGCATCATTGGCTAGATTTAAATGAATTTGAAGCTTTTTTGGCAATTTTGTACCATATGGCTCTATGGAAGTCGTCAAATGTCGATGACAATATGTTCTGGAGCTCTGAAAATGGTGTTTCTTTTTATAGGGCTGTCATACCGAGAAAACGTTTTAGTTTTATTTCTAACTGCCTACGTTTTGATGACAAAGAAACGAGAGATCGAAGCGATAAACTGGCTCCAGTTCGACAAATTTGGGACAAATTTATTTTCAATTGCCAACAGTACTATAAACCACATTCTTATTGTACAGTTGATGAGCAGCTTTTAGGCTTCAGAGGGCGATTCATTCAAAATGTTTATCAAATCAAAACCAGGTAAATATGGGCTAAAAATTGTCACTTTGAATGACGCCAAAACTGCGTATTTGGTAATTTTTTAATTTTTGTTTTTAAATTCAGGTAAAAATATTTTATACAATATTTTTATCTGAGTAATAAATTATTAACAAAATTTTGTAATAAATATTAAAAAACAAATGAAATTTTATAGATAAATGGTATACCTTACATTGGCAAAACGACTGTAACTGAAGGAGTAGAGTCAATTCCTGAATACTTCTTCAGAAAAGTTACAGAATCCATTCATGGAACTGGACGAACTGTTACATGTGATAACTGGTTCACCTCAGTACCTCTAATTGAAAGGATGAAAGGCGAACCATTCAAACTCTCTATTACAGGCACTATTAGGAAAAATAAGAGAGAACTTCCTTTAGAAATGAAGATTGCGGGAAAAAGTCCTCCTGAAAGTAAGTTTTGCCATTCAAAGACTGGAGTGACATTAGTATCTTTTACGCCAAAAAAACATAAAGTGGTTTTACTCGTGTCGTCATATATTTCGTCCACTAAGATTGTCGATGGAAAACCAGAAATAATACTTCATTACAACTCAACAAAAGGCGGAACTGATACGTTTGATCAGTTGTGTCACTCACACACGGTGAGCAGAAGAACAAATCGCTGGCCCATGCGTTTTTTCCTGGGAATGTTGGATCAAGCTGCCGTTAATGCTCGCATTTTGGCTCAATGCCAGTCAGTAAGAAGAGGAGAAAATAAAGTAACATCTGTCCAAGAGTGCCTTTCTCGATTAAAAATGTTTCTTGTCAAGCCCTATCTTCAAGAAAGGTATTGCATGGTTTCACTTCGCAAGTCTTTGAAAGCTGGTATAGCAATGATACTTGGGATCGATGAATTGCGGCAAGAAGCATCTGAAGATCAAAAGTTACCTTCTCGTAAGCGCTGTGATCTGTGTCCCAGACATAAAGATACTAAAACGACAATACAATGCTTATCGTGCTATCGTCCAATGTATAATAATCATTGCATGTATCTTTGCATTGATTGTGGGGATAGGCAGGAGTAAAATAGTTCGCAAATTTGTAATTTAAATTTTTCTTTTACTTTTTTATAATAAAATAAACATTCTGTAATTTTTTAAGTGTTTTTATGCCGAAATAAATTCATTTTTTCATTAAAATTCAATGGTTTTCGTTATACCTAAAAAACACAATTTTCTCAGCACTCAAACCTTAAAATAAATACACTTTTTGAATAGCTCCAAAAAAAAAAATTATTTCACGTTTAAACAACATATCTCCCGAGTATGGAACCATTTTTTTTTTTTCGATGAAAATTGAGTCAGCTATGAGAATTTGACTGAAAAAAGTCATTTTTTAACTTTTTTTTTTCAAGATTTTTTTTTTTATATTAAAATTTTTGTTTTTGCCTACAAAACCAATTAGCATTTGTTCTCCTATATCTAAGACATTAACAAGTATTTTTTTTATATAAATATCATCATTACTTTCAAAGCTACAATATTTTTGACGTGGCGTCAGATAGACCCCATGGGACAGTTCTGTTTTTCCCGGAAGCTCAGGGTTAAAACTTTTGATTGCTATATATATATATATATATATATATATATATATATATA